ATCTTCATTTTTAAGTTTATAAAAAACTCTAAATTTAATTCTAATATAATATATATGTTTTTTCCTAGTTGGTGAAAGGCTATAGTTCTTTTATTGAGCTAGTAATGACATTTCAAAGTAGTATTTTTCAACGTTTTTCTCATGAGTATGAACCATGAATACTTCTTTATCAGTAGTAAAAATATCATCCCATTTGATCAAAAGATGGCGGAGAAATCCAAGGCTGTTGTAGTGCAGTGTGACTTTTGAAACACCCTGTAGAAGCGCGACTGTTTGCTTATATCAACAAACTCCTTGCTTGTAAGAAAAATACGTTTGTAACAAGTCTGCACGAAAAGCTGCGCATTCCTAGACGGCAGCATAAAACTGTACAATATTTCGCAGAAGGATATAAGAACTGAATATTCGATATCTTCGTTTACTCCTCTCATCTGTATTGTTCTCATTATTTCTAGGAGTAAAACAAGCAAATGCCGCAGTGAATGATAAGAAAACTTTAGTCCTTGCCTACTTAGCAAGTGAAATGTCTAATTGTGTTACACAAGAGGAAACAAAGTTTTTTCAAGATACACTCTCGTACATGGATTTTATTCGTTCTTCAAAGGAAAAGCAACGTTGTATAATGTGTGTTATATCGCATGTTCTAATCACTGCCGAATTACTACATGAACTAGACAGCCTTGAACACGTGCACTCCGTAATCGACTATAATCCTTCATCAACTGTCTCTTACCCAGGTTATTCAAAAATTAAAAGTATGGCTACAACATCGGATCAACTACAATTTCAGTTAAGTCATAACTTGGCTACATATTATCGACAGGAAGGCGACAGAGCAATTGAACGTGATGAATTTGATTTGGCTGAAAGATACTACCTAAAATCGCAAAGTTATATTAAAAATTTATTTAGCAGTGTGCCGATAGAAGAGGACAAGTGAGCTTACTGCTTTCAAGAGATTTTTGCCATTCAGACGACAACTCGCTACTTTGTTTTAAAGATTCACTGATTAAATACATAAATAAACATAAAATCCTTCTTTTTCGTTTCTTACATTTTTTTTTCGAATCAAATAGACCTCGATAAGTGTGAAACGTTATTCTCACCTAACAAAAGTATACTATCTTCTTTTTTTCAGATTACACAGGGGTGTATTATTTAGAACAAATTCCCCATTAGACTGTACTTAAAACACCGTTGGCAGCTCCTGTCCTTTCTTGCTTGAAGTAGGTCAATATTTCTCTGGTGTTTTCAGCTTTCCTTTTAAACTCAGCTTTATTTCATTAGAACATGTCCGACAGAGCGCCCAAACAACCGTTGACAATTGTTTTAGAACCTGAATGCAGTTCGCCTGTTACTTCCTATGCCCCGACTGTCTACGAAAACCATTACGACATTGACGAATGTTTGAAACGCATATATTCAAAGCATGATTCTCAAATTACATTTATTCCAATTTTGCCTTTCTTCGACGCTGCACAATTTCAAAAAATTGTCAAAAATCCCCACAATTTAACTCAAATAACTGCTTTTCATATATTGTGCAATAACACTCAGGCTGTTGATCAATGGGCAAATGATAATTACCCGAAAGTGAAATCAGTTACCAAAATTGAGACGAATAAAGATTTACAAATACAAGAATTGATTGCACAAAACTGTGATCGTCAGCTCGATTACCATGATGAAATGAGACGAATGCATTCTGCCAATGGTGTTACTCCTCTAGCTGCAGCACATGCAAGAGAAGAACGACAGTGCATCGAGGTCAAATTAGGCGATTTAAGTCAACGACTGTCGTACGCTCAAAAATGCAAATTAGAACATCAAGTTGCCGAAGAAAAATGTGCTCGAATAGAAAGAAATTTAGAACGACAAATGAAAGATTTAATTAGACGACAAGAAGCGCTTCAACTACAAGAAGAAGATATATTAGAGGGTTCCTTCTCAGTACAATCAACAAACTAGTTCAACGGTTCTAAACGCCTCGTGTAAGTAGTATGTTCCTATCTTGTAATATGTTTCTCAGTTGAATGACTCTTGTGAAGTCTTCTTGCCATTGTAAGAAGAGTACTCATCGCAAAGCAGCAGATATTTTAAAGTCATCGAATATTTTTTTTCTTGCTTGTTATAGGATAACACAAAAATATTATACCACCAAAACTCAGTACCAAACAGACCGTCTTAAGTGAAACATATATTTTATTTCATTTGTTCTTTTTTTCTTTAGACAAGATTGTTTTTTCAGTTTTCTCACTCAAACTTTTTTCTTTCATGGGCATTCTTCTTTCGCTTCGTGTATCTTTTTTTTGTGATCCACGAATACTGGAGAATAAAACGTTTACCGTGTGAACGAACTTGACAGCACAACTCTTTCTATTACAGTAAAAAGTTCTAAACTTTATTTCAATCAAAGCATCCATTTCAAACAAAACGAATATTGTGTACAATGTTAGCATAAAGCTTCTATATGGTTTAACAACCTTGACTTTTCTGTGGGTGTGGGTAGGTATAGATGTAGGTGTTCTATTCTCTTCCTGCGAGATGCACCCACATCCACGCTCACACCCTCAAGTAAATAATGTGACATTTTCATATCAACAAATGTTCTTGGTGACAGTTATATTATTCCTGAGACACTTTTTCTGTTTTCTTTGCGCGTTTCCTGTTAAGAAGAACAACCATTATGTAGACAGCAAAGTGAAAAGGTGTGATATTCATAGTAATTGAAATCTTGCACCATTATGACATTTTCTATTTTGCTATTTGACTCTCATTCTTAAACACTTTGAAAGAGATGTGTGCTGCCAGCAATATCCACTGCATCGATATCCATACCCGCACACACACTGCTCGTCATTTGATGATAATTAGATGATTCATCCTTGTATGAAAATGCATTGTGTGTGGATATGGGGTGTAGAATATGCGATGAAGACTGTGGAGTGTGGATGGGGATTTTGGTTCAGAGGATATTCCAACTGCATCATCTCACATTTACATTCACACCCTTTTGAAGATTAGTCAGGTAGAACTTTGTCGAAAAGTGTTTTAAAGGTGACATTCATGATCAGCTTGAAGAGCTTTATCCAATCATATAGACAGTCAGGAATGCTCGTTCTTCAAACAGTTCTTCAAATGGCTTATTACCGTTCGACTGTACTCTATCTAATTGGAATTTTATCAGGCTCATTCAACGCTAATACTTCCATGGTTGTAAAAGAAATGTCCACAATCTTTCATCGGCTATTATATTTGCGTTCACTCGCTCATCAGTGTAAGCGAGTTGTTAATTTTGTGTGAGTATATTGTCTCTTCAAACATCTTCAAACGCACCCACACTCCCATACTCTCAAGTTTCTTGGAGTTGCATTCAGTTTTCTCAAGTCGTCAATTCAGCTGTTTCTCCTTTGGTAGAATAAAACTTGTCAGGAATAATCCTATTTTTTCTTCTCTTTCATTATTTTCTACATATAGAATTTTTCTCTTCTGTGTCATTTGAGAATGTGGCTGCTCCGGAATCATTTCTATGAACGTCGAACGTGCACGTCAACTATTCCAAGTCGAGACGCCTCGACAATGTAGATTTATTGACCAGTATAGACTATCTTAGCTCTATATTAAATAGTGGTAACGGTGTGGGTGTGAGTGGGTGTGTGCCTCAATAAGAGATTAAATTCACACCCACAACCACACCCAGTCTGGATATGAGTATGGTTATGTGTATAGATGAAGGAGACACTCGCTAAAAACTTAGATTTATGAACTTTTATTTTGAAATCTCTTGATTTCGAATGTATTTATTGATTAAAATTAACCATTATCAACTATTGAATCCATGAATCACAGACTACATGAACATTGGATGATACGAAAAGTTATGTTATGTCAATTAACAATATTGGTATTCATATGACTATATTAACACTTTCCATCGAATTGTAACCCTTTCATTAGGTTGATACGCGATCACTAACATCTTGACGATGCGCTCGAAACCAGTTTCAGGTTGTTCTGTAATTCGGAGAAGATAGAAATGTCCTTGTTTAACAGAGGCACTTGCTCCTGATTTTCCTTCTCGGAACAGCTCTGCGGATTCTTCCATCGGTTGAAAGGTGTTGCTATATGATCTACCCTTAAGAATAAGGATTGTCTTATTTTTCCTGTGCATTGATGCAAATCCTTGGCCATTTCCTACTGCCTCATCATATTTATATTTTTTCTGTAAATCTGAGCTAGATCCTAGATCGATGATTGTTCCAACTTCACGACCTTCTATGCCGATACTAAAGCTACCATTTTTGTAATTGTTGAAATCAATATCACTGCGTCTGTTGTAAACACTCCATTTTGAAAACATCTGACCATATTTTCCGTCACCGAAGCAGAAAGTGCTGGCGAGTGGATCCAGTGCATACAGGGTCACAATATTTTCATTTTGTTCAGAGCCATCATGTGTAACGTTTGTAACTACTTGCCATTTTCGAATTTTTGGATAAGTAATCATATAAAATGTTCCAATCATCGCTAAAATGAAAATTATGGTACAAATTTGTAAACCAATTAGCCATTTCATTTTGCATTTGTCACTTTTCTTCTGCAATAACATCACATTTTCACAATAATCAGAATTAATTATATTTTCTTTCTTTCCACTTATCCCAAAAGTCATTTCTGATTCTTAACACGATAAAGAAAAATGAGCCCTTTTATTATATATAATAGAAAATTAACATTACTCATATCTTATCTCTAAATGTGTCACTATACTTTAAAGAATTGCAAAATAGAAACGATGATAACAGATAAATAATTTCGTCATATAGTTACATCTCTTAAATTTTAGTATTACTTTATCGTGACTCTATGAAATAAATGTAAATATAACTCTTATATTTACAAAATAGAGATAAATGAATTCTTCATTTTCAAAAAAAAAATGAATAAAAAAATTGTTTTCTTTGATGAATAAATAGATGAATATCTAGTATAACAACAGCATATGCTGACCAATATCCTTTACTAACACCAACATCATTGCGACGTGTAATAGTTAGACTAAGAATTTCTCTTATTGATTTCGGGATTTTGAAAAGAATTTTATTCTTTTTTTCTTGACCGTCCTATTATTTGCATCGAAGAGTTGCTATTCTCTCGTTATTTTTCATTCTCGTATTTTGTTTTTCTTAATTTAACATTACGATTTTTCTAATCACTGATATAAGGGGTGTGAGTGAAGAGAAGACAAATACTCGCACCCACGTACACAAGTTAAAATGTGGAAAGTGAAATTTTTCAACTGATTTCTACTCACAGACTGCAAAATTATTTTAAAAAAATAGGCATTAGCCGAATTCAGATGCATTATGAATTAAAACATGATAGAACAGCGATGTAATTTGAGTGTTGCAACGAAATGTTATTCGTATATGGCATATGAAAAATAATGAATGAAACGCAATGCAAAGCAAGATAGATTTTGTCAAGAACAATAATGAAATATTCGCTATAGTATATGGCAAATAATCCAAATCCTTGAAATGATTTGCACATGCAGCAATAGTCAGGTATAGGATAATAAAAAAATACGATTAGAATGATCGATAGATTTCTGATTCATGACAAAATCAAAACCTTGTATATCAGATTCAAACGAAGAAACTTTTCAGTTCTACCCATCTTTAGAGAGAGATAAACGAGAATATCACATAGTCATCAAGCAACAGATATAGGATTTTCTATAATGAATTATCAGACTTATATGACAATTTAGTCTAACTATTCTCTTTTTTACCAAATAATTAAATAGACAGAAGAAGAGGAAAATTTTTCGTTTATCAATTATTAAAAAGAGAAACAATTCTAATAAAAGTTCTCGAAAATCAGAAAAAGTTTCATGGCAAATTTTCAAAAAGTCTCAAACAACACTTTCTCTCGATTAGACTTTTTGAGCTTGTCGTTGCTTGACTCGCTTCCTAAACCAAAATGATTACCAAGGTGACAATATATACATTTAAACGATTGAATTCCATTGTAGTCTAATTGTACTTTAGATCAGTAATAGAATCTTCTAAAATTTTTCGGCTTGTTAATCCAAGAAAAGAATAATCTCTTTGTTTTCTTATTTTGAATAAAATTATTGGATTTGATAGTTAAAATCCGGTTCTCATCTTCTTCTCAAATGTGTCTGCAGAATTCGTTCAAATGATAGCATCTCCTGATGATTCATACATGCACAGGCTTCAATCAACTATGGAATCAAGCTATTGATTCACTCTCTATATCCGAATGGGCGAAAAATAAAGTCGAAAAACATACTTCTATAATTCGATACATATTTATTGAGTAGATCCGCCAAATTCAAACAATCATCGCAAGAGCTCTCGTTCATATTCTCAGCTTGGTTGATGAGACATCACTTGAAAAAAAAGACCTTGTTTTTGCTGCTGTCGAAACAAAAGTGGATACCTACGCACACGAAAATTAATTTTATATTTTGGATGTTGATTCAGTAGATGATAAAAATGACTGGTAATCAACATTTCTAGCTAGGTTAAAGAAGAGTCAAACAAATAAATGTTGTATCACTATGGATGAACTATTTCGTGGAAACTTCTGCACTTATCATTGATAATTCATTATAGTTGAATAAAAACCACTATTATATTGGCTACTATCATCAAACCATATTGTTAATTGAAAGCTTTGTTTTCGATACATAAATTTTCGTTTCTTCAACTTCAAGTGTCGTATGATTTCTTTTCGGAATCATACCTTTTCGCCATGCAAATGTGATACTCCATCGATGTTTGAATTCATCCACAAAAGTCTTCATCATCTATAAATTGTTACCTGAAAGTTCGATATGCTTCACATGTGATAGAATCATCGAACACATGCCGTGTATATCTAACGCTTGATTGTTTTAGCAACTGCATCTTAATTTTAGAAAGGAAACATTTACAGTCTGTCCGAGAAGCGTCCTTATTTGAATTGATTTATTTGAGTTTTCATTCGATGTCCAATCATTATCAAAATAAATTTGGAGACTAGTGACATTCGAAAACAGAAAATGACCTGATGTATTCACTTAGATAATGAGATAGAGAGAGAAGAAGAAACATTGAATGATTTTCTGTTGTTGATATCGTAAAAAAAATTTAGAAAATATAATAATGCTGATTAGAGTGTGAAGAAAGTTGTTGAAAACGTTCTGAAACTTGTACCAATGTGATGTTAAAAAAATTCTAAACATTTCAATATAGATCTCAGCAGCTACCAAAACAATTGAAACAAGAACTGGAGAGATGGACAAGTGTTACGTCATCTAAAATCGGAGGAATCAGCCAAGCTATATTTGCAGTAGGAGTAAACTATGCATAATTTTCACATTTTTACTTTCAAGAAAAGTCTGTTTAGATAATTCGAAGTATGCTTGAATAACGACTATGAGTTTGCGTTGTATTCCTGTTAAAATCGAGCGTTTTCCCATAAAAGATCATTTTTTTTCCTCGAAAGGATTGTTCTGTTCCGAAAAAAGTCACAATAGGTGTTCATTGATGTTTCTTCAGTGATGTTCTATTGTAGGATATGATAAAATCATATTGTTTTTTTAATCTAAAATCTCATTTTTCCAAAAATTGATCTACACCATAGAAAATAAAAGTATTCATTTGAACAAAGTGTTATTAAAATTTGGCTTTATTTTAACAAAATTGCTCAGTCTTATTGAATTTGTTTTTTTTGACTTAATGAATGTTTTAAGACTGGCGAATAGAAAGGAATCAATAACAGAAAGTGTAGGTGTAAAGATTCTTTTCACAGATATATACACCCACTCTCTTTCACTCTGTAATTTTACTATGAGTTAATCTTTCACTCATAATGAATGCTATGAAATCATGGTCAAAAGCTTTTAGGAAACTACTGTCAAGCTGACTCTGACATAACTGTGAAGTAAAGTCTTAAAGAGCTTCTATCAGTTGAGCATTTTCTTCAAAACTTACCTTATTTGTGGGTATGGGTGTAGGGTATAAGTGTGCGGATAGTTAATCACACCCACACCCATATCTTGCTCACTATTCCACAAACAACGTACATATAAAAATTGATCTCGTGTTCTATTGACTAAAAGATTTTCTTAACAAGAAACTACTAGCTTTTATATCTTTCAAAATGTAACTCTGGACCAATGTCGTAAACGTAGTTAATGAGTAAGTATTTTTCAAATCTATCATTTACACTTTTGAAGATAAATATTAAAAATTCAAATTTTGAATACTTCGTCTGTCTATATCGATGAAATAATGATAAAAAAAAATTGGTTAATTTCTTTATTTTGTTTCCTCCATATAAATGTAATTGGTCGTTTTGTTCAACTAATACGTAGTATATATGAGCAAAATAAGATCACAAAATGCAGAGAAAAGACAGTATTGTGCGAACAGAAACTATATGAAGAATAGTATTGACTATCAAATGGTAAAAGAGCGTTGAATAATGGTATCGCTTATTGGTATACAAACATTCTATGGATATTTATTCACAGAACGACTAATGAAAATGACTATTGGCCGTTATTCTCTGTTAAAATAGAAAAAAAAAGATTAAACATCATAGTATCAAAGAGGAAAATTAATGCTGCAGATCATTTATAGATTCATTTTCTTCAATTATGAAAATATTGCATAGGAAAAAAATCGAAATCAAAGATTCCAAAAGCAGACTTAAGACAACTGACATTGTAATAATTGAAAATTTTTGTCTAATTATTTATAATAATATAGCAACTGATAAAAATTATGCAATAAAGATAAACACTTTGGAGATCAGTGTTTTATCGAGTGTGTGAGCCGAGGTAGCAATGCCTCTTCAGAGATCGGATTCGCCCTTCCGAGGTTTACGATTACTACATGTTACACTATGCATCTACTCTTCCGAAGATACTCTGATCAAATGATTCCGTTGGCTAGAAAACTCTAAAAAACGGTAGGAATTTAGAAACAGAAATTCGGTGATCGTATCTGGTTCCAATTGATTTCGGTCTGAACTGAGTATGAATGTCGTTTTGGGTTATCTCTTCACCGAAACCCGCATCCTTACATGCCAATAGTCTTTTATTGTTAAATTATTTTCAATAGTCAAAGATAAATTGTCATCAAGTTAAAGTTGATCTTCAAATGTCATTGATCGTTTATCAATATTAAAATTAATATTTTTATTTCATTTTTCAGAATTTAAAATTCAATTTTGAAATTTCTTTGAACACATTCGACTATTCTTTGTGATTTTAACAAATACTTGAACACTTTTTTTTTTACTAAACTATTTTTTTTATCTAAATATCTTTGATCAAATAACACTTTATTTTGTAAATCAAAACAATATAAAATAACTTCGTGCTCTCTAATAAATAGTTTTCATAACTCTTGAATGAATTAAAATATCTACAGAAGAACACATTGAAAATTAATTTTGGAGATCAATTTTCATATTAAACATTACGTCGTTGAAATTTAATATTTTTATACTAAGAAAATACATTTTTTCTTTGAAATCATTTTAAAAATAACTCAAATGATTTTCTTTTTCTCCATTAATGTTAAATTGAATATTAATGATACGTAATGATTATGAAAAATTGAATAAAATTAAATCAATAGAGGTACACTTCGAAAAGATTTTTTATATTAATCCATTTAAATATCAAATCATTTTGAAAAATAAGTAGAAAAGTTTAAAAAAATATAATCAAACTAAAAATAGTAGATTGAATCTTTGTAACTGGATATAATCCTTTCTGCTTTTTATTATTATTGTGAAACATTATGAAAGTTTTTTTAGAGAAAAAAACGAGTAGAATTTTCTGTAAAAATACTTCTAATGGAAAAACAATCAGAACTCAATTGAATGCGATCACACACTGAATATAATTAAAGAATAAACAAAAATCAGAATTATTCTTCAGTATTTAATTACTAAAAGTATAAGTAGATAAGTAGGTTTTAGTACCTACGGAAGTAATAATAAGTACTATTTTCACTTCGTGAAAAAATAATGGCAGTACTTAATAGTAACTTTTTTCGGATCAAAACTTTTACACGGATAGTCACTATTTCAAGTATCGTATCATGCTATACGTAGGGAAGAACACGACGATGTGGCTTCATAGAGAATTTGATTTTGCAACAAATTCAAAAAATTATATCTTTTTAGCTCTACAGAGGTATGAAGCTATTAGATATAAAAGCAAGAATTCAGCTCTCCCAAGGAATATACTGACTTGAAGACTTTAAAGATTTTTTTTTGCAAAAGCGTGGACATCTTTAGGCTAAAAAAGTTCCTTAAGGATAGAGGGTCGACTCAAGATCGCGTCATCAGACGGATCTCGAGACTATCAGACATGATCATCAAGGAGGGGATGAGATTCAAAAAAAACTGATCAATTGATTTTTCGAACTTTATAATTGTCGAACAGCAGAATCTAAAGATCTATAAAGATAATCACAATACAATGAGAAATATTTTTAGAAAACAGCCTTTAAAACCTTCAGTCAAAATCCATCTAAACAATTAACTTCAAACTTGATACTCTAAGTACTTCTCTTTTGAATAATAAAAAATTGCAACGTATCATCTGCTTTCTATCAAAAGTTATTCAGAAAATAATCAAAAGCATTGTCTTTTGAAAACAACAGTAATACTATTAATTTTTTATTTTATTTCTAGAGTTAAATAGAAAAGCAGTATGTATGTTTTAAAATAATTATGTAATCAATAGTTAGTAATTTAAAATAATTTTTGTGGTTATACTAAGTGATAAGATATCGATTTGAAAACAACAATAGTTTTCATTTAAGTATGATGCTTGATTATATAAATAAAAGAGTAATGAAGTCGAACTTGTTCTACAACTATACATATATAAAGTCTATTGAAAATTTTCATCGTGTGTATATCATTCGACAGGTTCTCTTCCTAACTTGTAATCGGGAAAGTCAATATCAAATTTAACAATAAGTCGACCACGAATTCCATTATTTGTTGGATCCGGAAGACCAGCTTGATCAATAATAAATTGTGTATGTGGATTAATAATATCATTTGGATAAAACTCTTCTGTTCTTCCATCAATCAATGGTATTTGAACTGGTAAACCATCTAATGCCTAAATAGACAAAGTTCAAAAAAAAGGTAAATAATTAGAAAAAATACATACCTGTTGTAAAGAAATTTTTGCTATATAAATAAGATTAGAACCTGATCGTTCATATAGTCTATGTGGTTCTGTTCGAATTGTTACAACTAAATCTGCTGGTATATTTACTGGATCTTTATGACCTGCTTCGATAAAACGAAATGTTTTTCCATCAACATAACCAGGTTCAATAATAACTTGATATGTTGCTTCTTCAATTTCTGGTATTTGTTTATTAATATCACGAATTTTTCGTTGAACAATTACATCACATACTTTTCCATGAAATATATCTTCTAATGAAACTGTAATAATTCGAATAAACTCCGGATCTTTTACACGTTTCCATTCCAAAGAAGGTTCATTATTCAATGAAGATATATTATTTATATAACTAAAATGATACAAAAATAATTTATCAAGAATAAATTGATTTCAAATACGTACATTTCATCTGAATAACATTTATTCATATATTTAACAAAATTAATATTATTAGATTCAGCTACTGCACGTATAATACCCATACATTCTAACCAATATTTCATAAGTTCTAATTGTATATTTTTTTTAAAACCATTGCTTTGACTAATAATGAGAAGATAGATATGATTACACATAGTACAAAAATCAATTATAGATATAGATAATAAAACTTTTTCACGTTTATTATACATATATTTAAATTGACTTGCAATAAGACTAATTGAACAATTTTTAAGTGCTGTAAAAATATGATTTAATGATAATTTTACAGCATTTTTAAAAGCTTCAAGTCCATAATTAATAAGACCTTTAAATATATATCTTACGTGAATAAGTACATCATAAATCCATTTACTTATCGTGCTTAGAACGATAGTATCACATATGAGTTTAGCAGTTGTTAATGGCACATAAATATGTATATTTTTAACAATACCATCTGTAGCTTCTTTGAAATTGATTTCATGATTTAAGTAACGTTCTGCATCTTTAGGAATTGAAAAAAACATTTCAACAATACGCAATGTGCTGGAACCCGCAGCAGCAACAAAATACGGTACTACTGACATGATTAAAATGAAAAGTATGAATGAAACTACTACACAATAACATTATTATAGTTGGAAATTTCCAACAAGGTGTACTTATATAATTCAATGGACGAAAACATATTGTTACTATTTTTATTTTTTTGTTATTGTCAAGTATTTACTTTAAAAAAAAGTACTCATATTCTGTAGTAGATGTCTCTTTTAGGAATAAAGAAACAGATCAACAGCAGACTTCATTTTATTATTTTTGATTTTTAATATAAAATTTTGAATTTCTTGTTTAAAGTATAAAAATTTTTTATTTATTAATCTTTATATCAGACTAACAATATACAAAATATAATGTTCATAATGATTTATTTAGAAAATTTTTCTAATGTTAAACGAAGTCTTGTTATTTGATCATGGCTTGTTTCTTTTTCTAATCGTGGTAAATAATGTATACGAATAGCATTAATTATTTTTGAAAATTGCATTGGATATACTTTCATCATAATTTCACCAGCTTCATCAAGAAAAACACGTATTAAAATTGATGTTATATTTGATTTTGGTGGTAAATTTAAAACATCTGAAAACCATTTCCATGCAAATGCTAAATCTTTATCAAATGGTGGACCACGACTAACAAGTAATTTACAAAATAATCGTATAAGTCCATTCATTCGAGTAAAAAATTCACTTTCTGTTTCTAAACGACGTTGATCACCATCTTGTTTTTCAATATAACCTATTGCTCTTTAAAAAAAAAAAAGAAGAAAAAAGTCTATTAAAAATATATTAACTTATTTTAAATATATTTACTCTAAATATTGTTTATCATTCATAGTTGATTGTCGTTTTGGATATAATGGTACTGTATATGGACATTTTTTATGTAAACGATCAAGAAAAATAATACGAAATTCTTGATGTTGTTGATTTCGACTAAGAATACCAATTAATGGTAAAAAAATTTCTGTTTTTATATCATTTAAATCACCACCAAGTAATTGTGCAAGAATAAGTGTTGCAAGCATTGATAAACATAATAAGCGTTCTATTTATTTATTTCAAAATAAGATAAATCATATAGAAGATTAAAAAAAAAATAATTACCTTCTTCATTTGATATACGATGTATTTGATTACTAACTTTTTTTTCTTGTCCATTTAAAAATTCAAATAATTCATTTGTTAATGTATGAAATGTTTCTTTACGTAATTTATTCATAATATCTTTTATACAAGATGCTAATTGTTTTTTACGTGAAAGATCTATTATTGAATAACGTTTTTCATATTGTTGAGCTTCGAATGATAATTTTCTATATTCAACAAGTGTTTCTGGTTTAATTTCACCAATATCTTCTACCGAAAGTGTAGGCTGTGGATGTGGTAATTGGGATTTAATAATAGGTGCTGAAGGAGGTACAACTGTTGATAACGGAGATATAACGGCAGGCGGCGGCGGCAGCGGCTAGAAGTACAATAATTTATTCCTGTTAGATAATGAAAAAACCGACGTTTGTACAAGACCGTTCATCAGGTCCAAAAATCAACCTGAGGAGCTCTATCGTCAAGTCAATCTCTTAACTTTCTAGCAACAAATGCTTGAACCAAACATTGATTTAGTATCCTAGGACTTGTTACCTTATCTTTATGAACAAGTGAAACTAAATAGAATGATGAATTAAGACAGAGTTATAGAATTGAGTGTATGCGATACCTGATTGATCTATTCGTACTTTTAAACTGTTGCAGAGGCAAACAGAACGTGTCTATTAATAGTTCCTCAGATTCTCTTTTGAAATCGGTACAGGAAAGAAAGAGTTAGCGTAAAATAGTAAAATATGATATTCTAAATATCACGGATGCATGTATATCTTGCTATTTTATTTTACTTATCATAAAGTCAAATCAACATCTCTCTCTATTTTCATATAGTCTCTACTGAAATTATCATTAACCTTGATTAGAGATGTAAGCCAATGGGTTCTAGTCACCGCCGATTATTATTCCGTCGACTTAAACCTCTAATCTTGATATCAAATTTACTGAATTTCAGACAAACTTTTAGCCAATTCTCAGCTCCGAAACATATTCTCGATTGTGTTCTTTGTACAACTCTTTTTTATACTCAAGGATATCTTAATATACTCTTACCTTTATTTTTCAAAAAGTATTCGAAAAAAAGATAAAGCGTTTTAAAAAAATCTATTTATTTGGTTTTCGAAGTCAAAAATGAAAATATTCTTACTGGATTAGGAAGAACTATTGATGCAGATTGTTGTGACTCATTTGATTGATCTGGTTGTTGATCATCATCATTTACTTCTTCTTCTTCTTCTTCTTCTTCTTCGACAACATCATCATCAGGTGGTCGAAATTGATTAATATATTCTAAAAAATCTTCTCTAGCTTTTCTTCGTGTTTCATCATCATCACATTGATATTGCCGTTCAAGAATATAGAGAAAACGAACTAAATAATAAAATATTGTTGTTTTTTTTTATTAAATAAAATCTTTTTCTTACGTAAATCATTTGCAGGACCAATACTTATATTATCAGATTTACTAGAAAATTTAAAACATAATATTTTATTTTATAAATAAAAATGATTATCATACGATTTACTACGAATAACTTTCATACATTCATTTGTTTTTGCTTCATCTTCTTCAATATTTTTTATTATATTTTCAATACGTCTCTATTTCAAAAATAAAATATATAGTAATTTTTCAAAAACAATAAGATAACTTCCTTACATAAAGTGTTAATTTACTTTCATGAATTTCATCCATTTATCTAGAATAGACATGTTTTTTTTTTGTTTAATAAATCAAATATCACATAACTTAGAAAAGAAAAATAAATTAAAGAAAAAAATCACAAAGATAAACGAAAAACTAAAGTTCGTTTGTAGCTTTTGATTGATCATTTTTAGAACTTGATTGTTGTTCAGAAAGACGAAATATTGCATGATTATCAAGAATTTCAACACCGACTCGATCTTTAATAAATGAATTAAAGCACATGGCACGTGCTAGAATATCAACTGGTGTTGTTATCCATTCTGGTGCTATACGTTGAACTGTATAACTAAGTATTGTTCGTAGAACACTTTCTAATGGTCTACTTTCAACACGATCAACCATTAATACTCTAAATGAAATATTTTATTTCGAATAGAAAAATTTAAACAAAAAAAAAACAAAATCTTACGCTGGTCGATAAATTGATAAACGTTCAAATGACATTTTAGTTAAAGCTGCTTCTGCTTGACCCTTGAGAAAATGATTATTCAGTTGAGACAATATACATTATGTAGATCGTAATGAGTTAGGAATATCCTGACAAGAGTTCGGATCCTCAGCTTATTACTGCAGAATTTTACAACTCAATGCTATAGTCCACCTCAAAAACAGGTTTTCGAATTTCGACCTACGGCAGAGATAGAACTGGTCAAGACCTTTTTACAATCGATATCGGGGCCGGTCAGTATAGGCCATATTGGACTAGAACGGCCAGTCTGAAATCCATATCGGTTCTATTTCTGTCTTATCTTATCCTACAAAGTTTTTATGTCACTCTCTCTTGATACTAGTCTAGTTGGAAGGCTCTAAAAGTGATCAATAGCACCATAGTATCACATTAGAGATGTATAGAGTAAACTTTTTTTCGTGCTCTGTACTTGATTGAGAAAAAATTTTCTAACCATTACCCTCTGCAGATCTCTAGCAGCTATGTTAAAAGCATATCGTCTACATTGCTGATATGCTCCGATAGATTGGACGTTCTGATTTCACGGAAGGAGCAGATCAAAAGATTTGAAACTTTCACAATAAACTATTCTCGCTAAGATCTCCTATGCAAAGCTTCATGTTGAAATTCGAAAATCTGTTGTTCAGACATCGCATGGAATTTAAAAAAGTGCCGTCAATATGCAATATCTCTATTGTAATGAGCTAAGAGCCTGAACTCTTTTCAAGATATTCATAATTCATTAAGATCTACGTGATGTACACAGTTCTGACTGAAAAGCTATTAATTAGTTCGGTGAGTTTCATCGTAAACATACTTTCACTTGAGGATAAAGAAAAAATGAATTTTCATTTGCACCTTGACTTGATACAAGATGAAAATGTTTACAATCTTCTTGTTTAGCAAGACGAGCTACACTAACAACATAATCAAAATCAACTCGACGAAAACCTTCCTTCAATAAAAAAATCAAAATAATAAAATAATTGAAATATTAAATTTCATACTTACTACTCCAGCTTTACCTCTTGTAGTACCAAGACAACAAAAATGTACATCAGCACCACGAAATGCTTCAGCATAATCATCAATTTTATCGAAATCTATTTCACGTTGTTCCTAAACGAAAACAAAAAGAAGGAATTAAAAATTTGAGTTAAAATGAACAAATATAAGTTATTGTCTATCAGCCTATTTATTTCTCTACAAAACAGACAATATTTTTCTTGTCATTGAAAATTTAAAAAGATTAACAATTTACTGAATGATCGGATTGTGACCTTCTATTTTTTTTTTTTGTATATCTAATAATTTCTGTAAGTGCATATTGATCGAGATAAGTCTTAAAATTGCTGTATATTACATCAAACAATAGAGTATTTTATATTTTATCTATCTATAATCTTTTCAATATTTTTAACATTATTATTCAGTAAAAGAAGACTTCAAACTAAAAAAATATTATTGTTTTTCGATTCATTATCGAAAATAATGTTTGACTTTTTTGAAGCCGTATTCATCCTATAAGACCTTGATTTGCATGTCATTAGGTACAAAATTTAATTCTGAATACAACGGTTTGACTCAAAATGGAAAAAATCGTATCAATACATTTCCATATAAAAATATTTATTTTAAAATCTGGAAAAATATGTTGAGTTTTATGTGGACTTTCGTAGCATAGGTTTTTTAAGGATATCCTCTATCTTTTTTTTTGACTACGTCTAGTTCTCGAAGAGGATGTGACTGATGCGATGGAGATTTTTACCACGAATATATAGCATCTAAAATAAGTTTACCAGAAAACTCTGATTTTTCGTAGATTATGACACCCTTCTAACTTTATCTGATCGAGTTGAGATTTTTATCATAGATACTTAGAAGTACTTTTCAGAGATAGAATCAGCTATTTTTATTTTCGATCTTCATGTCCGAATTTATAGGATTCTACAAGCTAAATTTCTGATTTTAGTTCCGAAGTTTTACGTATTTTTTTTCATAAAAAACCAGTAAGTGAGATTTCCGAAAATACCTGTAAGGTATAGTCTTAAACGTTTCTAAAAAAATTTTTAGTTCAATCGGATAAAATTTGATGGAAGTTGTAATGTCATGGAAAATTAGAATTTTCTCGTAAAACTCTCTTTGAAATTTTTTTCCTCAAACACATACCTTATAAAAAAAACACACTAGACTGTTTTTCTAGAAAAATAAATTCTCTATTGAATGAAATTATAATCAAATTTGTAAAAATTTATTTAATAATATAAAATTAAAATATTTTTTCTTAAATTAATAAACCCATCAAGATTCATTTTTAATATAATACCGTTTTTTCTATATATTTATTATCAGTATAATCAATTTTTCGACGACCAACAAGAATAATTTTTTTAAATTGATTATTATTAATTAATTCTTTCACAAGTGCTTTTCCTGATTCTCCTGTATAACCAGTAACCAAAGCAATTTTATCTGTAGACATCTTCAAAAAAAAAAAAAAAAGAAAACATTTACGTATATAGTTTCTACTAATTACATTATCTTGTTTACCATAACAGGCATCATATTTCATATATAGAAGAATAAGATACAAAAATAGTCGCATGGAAATTATCTCTTCAAAAGAATTGATGAAATAAAATAATATGCTATATGTAAGAATAGCAACAACGTTTACTCATTTTTTTAGCCAATAAAAAAAATTATATGTCGCTAAATAATAATTGATATCTTTATGCGGTAAGCGTCACAGTCAATGTTATTTTATATTATGAAGTAGCGACAATAATCTAGATATAAGATTTAAAAAATCCACATGTTTTTTTCTTTCTTTCAGCAAAAAAAGAACATTCCCATAATGCAACATTTACATTAAATATTTATACTTATAAAGGGTATTGACTTTACTTAATCAGGTTTTTAGTATTTCGAAAAAAATTTATATTATTTATTTTTTTTTTTACTTCTTATGTAGACATCCGAAAGCAACATCAAGTCATAATAACAATCGAGTATGTGTTCTTTTTTAATACAAGAAATTTTTGTTTTATCAGAGTCAAGTGCGTAAATAGAAGATATCAAGGATTTCTTATATATATATATTCATAATAGGATATACATAGATTATTATTATTATTATATGCCCAGTACCTATTTTTCAAGAACGTAAAATGTTATGGCATTAGACTTCATATTTTATATTTTGTTCATACATAATAAATTCAATGAATTAAATATTAAGGAATAACTCCCTTGTTCGGTTTTTTTAGTGTTAATTGTCATCAATTATTGGAGTAATATATCGATGTAGAATAGAATTTCATGAAGGAATGTATCCTATTTAAGGCAGACAATTATGTAATGTTTTTCGAAAAGAGAAAGAAGAAAAACAAAACATAAATGTCTTTCGAGTTTGAAAATACGCGGTCTCTATTCATCATTGTTAGCATAAGAAGTATTTAAATACTATTTTCTTTTTTTTAACAAACCAAATCATCGTAACAGAATTCATAATTTGTAAATGATTAAAATTTTTCAATTATTTTTTCTAATGTTTAAAAAAAGCGATAGTATATATTCACTGTATTAAATAAAATATTAAGTAGATTTTATAAATTGATATTGATCTATGATTATAATTATAAATCACATATTATCATATTGAGCAGATTTTAGTCATAGATAATGTCTAAAATCATATTTGATTATTACACTTGTAATAGTGACATTACTAAAACCTATCTATCTTTAAAATAGCAACATTCATTCAATGACATTCTATAATGAAGATTGATTTTTCCTATTAGCAACTGTATTATTATAATAGTAAATAGTGAATCGATTATCAAATCGAGTTAATCAAATCGGAAGGTAAATTAACATACACGCGCATACACACTGTCAACAGTGTAACACCTCGATTTTCGATCTATTTTTTTTGAAATTAACTATTTCAAGTTAGTTCTGATTATAATTCATAATATTATATATGAATTAAATAAAAACAAGAATAATGATTCTTTCCAAAAAAGAAAAATTATCTTAACATTTTTAATTTTTTTTTAAGGTTTCACATTAGAATTATGTTAATATATTAATAAAAATAGATACAATTGAGTACAGGTCATAGTAATAGCGTATAAATCTAACACTTATTTCCAAGAAAATATTAATAAAAATTTTTCTTAGGTGTTATAACTAATAGCATAAGTATATAATGAAAAAAAAAAGCAATGCTTTACATATGAAACTATATATGTATGAGTAAATATTTATGAAAAATAATTTTCAGAAGAAAGATCAATAATTCTTATTTAAATGAATCATCTATCATGAAAATCAACATGACGCAGTAATTATACTTTTTTTTTTCACAAACACAATGTTTAACGATCCGTATCATCAACTATGGTAATCATTATTTAGATTATTTTTTGTCTAAAATTATCGATATGTCTGTTTACAAAACGGTATTTTTATCTAGAAAATGACACGATGTAGACGTCGCTATTTCTTTTTTTTTTTTCTAACCTTCGTATATAATATATTCTTTCATATTCTCCAATCATCATTGAAGTGACAAAAAAAAAAAACAAGTTAGTTTGTTTTGAATAAATATATTAGATTTTTCGAAAAACATTTACTATTCTTTTCGAAAATATAATCCAAGGATATCGATTTATGATATGTAAATAAGAATGAAGAAATTTATTTCTTACTATTAGATGTGAATAAAAATGATTTAATTGAATTTTTATATAATTTGATTGTTAAAAACAAAAAAAGAAAAAGAAAAAAAAAATCTATTTTAGAATTTTTATTTTAATTAATTCAATTTGATTGTTTTTCTTTAATAAGAAAATTCAATTCATTTTTAAATTACGCATAATAATTGAATGATTTTATTATATGATAATTATATTTAGAAATAGATGGCATTCAAATTTCACTTAAATACAAAATGTTATGTAAAATTGAGATGTTTTAAAAGAAAAAACGAATAATTGTTTCGAAGATTTTCTTCAAAAGATATTTACAATTTTCTGAAATTGGATATTTATTTTTCGTACTAATACTTGAAAAAAGTTACATTTCGATTAATTAGAAAAACAATGAAAAGTAGCTATTAGAAAATTGATTTCGAAGAAAAATCTATTAATACATATCAACATATTTCGAAGAAATACTATTAATTGATTATTTTTATCTATCTATCATCAACTGTATTGGTATCTATCATATATACTTAGGATTATAATCAAAAGTTCTGATCATGATGCTTAAAGTTTAATACAATAGGTAATATCGACGGTTTTATTGCATGAATACATATTAGAATATCTCGTCTAATATTCGGATATATTCTAGAAGTTTCTATATTTTTCATTTCTTTCTCTTGTGTAGTGTTTTCTGACGTCATGTTCTAGAACATGACATTTCGATAGTATATGTGGAGTAAGAGATCGTTCGCTGTTAATTCAGTTAAAAATTTGATTTCAATTTTTAAAAAAAATTCTTAAGCATGACTAATGAATTTAATCGATACATATCTAAAAGAATGTTAGAAATTAAATCTAAGATAGAGTTACTATATATATATATATTATAGACGAAGCATTCTAATATGTATTCATACAATAAAACACCTTGATATTCACTATTTTATTAAATTTTAAACATTGTAATCAGAACTTTTGATTAAAACAAAGTTTAAAAAAAAATTGCCTTTCTTGAGGATTTATTTGTAAATCAACTACACATTCTCCAAAGAAACGAAAAATATATTGATTTTTAGGTCGATCTTGAAAATTTCTTCATCTTAGTTTCTGTTCTCGAGATCATTGAAATAGGAAATTTCCATTTTTCAATTTCGAATAATTTACATATACCGAATAAGGTAATACAAGATTGAATGGAAAAATATTTTTTTGTTTGTCGAATTTGAAAGAAAAGTTTTGTTTCAGATTGGATTATAGAAAGTAAAAGATTTTTTTTTCTAAGTGAGAGAGGCATCAATCAGACAGATTAAGAGCCTTCTGAGAATACTTATCAAATCTCTCTCGTACTCTTGGCACGAACATATAGTGCATAACTCATTTAATCATCTTTACCAGTCAAGGTCTAGAATCAACTATTCTTACATGTGAAATCTGAGTTTCCTTTGTTTTTTTGATTACCTCGAATCATCCAAAAAAAAACAAATTCTCAACAAGAAGCATTTTGTTTTTTTGCTCTCTATAAATAAACAAAAGTTTCTTCTAAAGATTAGAAAATGAATGATGTCGTGTCGACCTTGATATATTTATCGCTGGTTCGAACGATTATTTTCTGACATTGCTTTCTGTAAAATCATGGCGACGCACATAATGACAATTGTTTTTTTATGCTTACACATCTTGAAAGAAAGAAGAAAAAAAAAAGAGAAAAACAACTCTCAACTAATCATTATGTAGGTGTTGTTTTGCACTTTAAAAACTTAGAAACCATTACATATATGCTACGCATTGCATTGCACTACATATGATGAAGTTGTAATTATTAATATAAGAAATTGACAATTGATCTATTAGTAATTAATTTTTTATCTCGATTTTGTACATTTTTTTTTATTGTTCAATAATAATGTTGATTGGCTTCTTTATTAACTGTAATTTTTATAAATATATATATACGCATTTGAATGCTAACGAGAGGCATTGTTGTATCGTTTACTTTGATTCTCTTGATTGATTTTATGATGGCCTTGTATCTTCTTCTCACCATCATCGCCTTCGTCGTTCTGTTCTACATGATATATACATACGTTGTCACCATCCAATAACGAAAAGAAACAAGTAGTTAAGTGAGAATATAGAGGAGCATCATTATCATTAGTATACACACATACATACACATACATATTCAACGCGACGATCGATTCAGGTAAAAGATAGGCGAAGCGTGCTAATACAATGAACAGATGCAAGAAAAAAAAAGAGTAGAGAAGAAGAAAAAAAACAGAATAAAGTCGTTTAATCATTGTATCATCCACAATTCACGTGTCAAACAATAGTTTGATTTATATAGGTATTTCATCGCCGATCAATCATTATCGTTTGATGTTTTATTATACATTATCAATTGGTTATTTTTATTCTTTATTATTTCGTTAGTATTACCACAATGGTTAGTTGGTATGTATAGAAAAAAAAAAGATGCTTCTTTTTCTTTTTTTTTTTTCTTTTCATTTGAAATAATAATATTTTTTTCTTTTTAATATTAGCGAACCGTTTCATTCATATAAAGTTCCATTAAAAAATAATGGACAATCTATTATTGAACATAATCTTGTTACAATATATTTAAGTTTGGAATGGCCTAATAACGTTAATGATAATCCAAATCTTATTATACATATTTTTGATAAAAGTAAAAAAAAAACAAATAAAAGTTTTGTTTTTTTATTTAATATATAATTTTAAATATTTAGAAACATCTTCAAAAACATGTAAAATTGAACCATCAATGTCATATATTCAACAAAATCAATCATCGTTATTTGTCAATTCTATCAATCAACAACAACAACAACAA